TTAGGTTATTTATTTATAAAAAAAATTAAAAGTCATTGGGGGCAAGTGCTCCCATTAATCACCAAGTAGATCCGCCCATGAGCCCGAAGATGATTATGTTGGGCTAGAATAGCGATATAAAATTTGGTAATCTCTCAGAGTATATATTGATGTGGAAAAGTGAACCTAGGAGCAATATTATATAATTGGCCAAATCTGAAACTTTTGATGTAAGATTTTCCTTATTTTTTGTTTTGATTTTTTACTCATAAAATAAAACGGTGAGGGTTTGAATTTAAAGAGTTGGGGTTAAAGTAGCGATGTGAAATCTGATGATTTCTCAAAGTATTGCATAGAATAGTAAAATTGAGAGTAGTATTATATAATCAACCAAATTTGGAGTATTAATGTGAACTCTTCCATTGTTTTTACTTTAGTCTTGTACAGTTGTACTCCATATTTTATAATCAGCCCAATATGAGAGTATTGATGTAATTTTTTTTTTTTGCTTTAGTTTTTTATTCATAAAAAAGTTGTGAACGTAGGACTTGAATCCAAAGAGCCAGGCAAAAGTAACAATGTAAAATCTACTGCTTGAAGTATTAGCGAGTAAAAGTGACTTTGAAAGTAATACTGGAGTATTATATAATCAACTAAATCTGAAAGTACTCATGTGAACTTTTCCAATCCTTTGTTTTTACTTTAGTCTTGTATTCCGTATTTATAAAATAAAATGGTAAGGCTAAAGACTTGAATCTTAGCGATGTAAAATCTGTTGATTTCTCAAAATATCAGCGTGAAAAAATGAATTTGAGAGTAATATTATATAATCAATCAAATCCTGGAGTATTGATGTAAACTTTTCTTTTATTTTTACTTTGGTCTTGTACTCTGTGTTTATAAAATAACATGGCAAGGGTGACCTATTGCCATTGTCTTAGAGAATAACTTTTGAACTTCTACCTCATTCAAAAACAATTTTGTGTGTTTGACAAATCTAATTCTACTTGGAAAAATTTACCTAAATAGTACTAAAACATAGTGATTTCCGAATGTAGTACCATATGTTGTTATTTCTCAATGTAGTACTACTGTTCAATGTCTACTGGTCATTGTTAATGTCTACCATCACTGAACATTGTTCAAGCTAAATGTCTATCATTACTGGACGTTGTTCTCGCTACTAGATATCATTCAAGTACTATTTATAAAATACAACAACAACAACCCAGTTCTACTTATAAAATAAAAAACTTACAACAACAACAACAACCCAGTTCTATTTATAAAATAAAAAACTTTAAGTTTTATATTGGGAAAGGACATACTCCCTCTGTCCTAGAGTATTTGTCCACTTTCATTTTTGCACAACATCCAATGCACTTTTTAATCCATTTTATCTAGTAATTTGTATATTAGAGAATTATAGAAATTATATATTAATAATCTATATGTTAAGACAAATCAAACAAGATCACACATGACTATATTTAGGCTTACACATTGAGAGAATTTGAGGAGTTAAAATGCTTAGATGAACAGTTTCAAAAGTCAAAAGTGGACGAATATATCGGGACGGAGGTAGTATGTTTTAGTGCTATTTAGTGCAAATTTCACTTTTGCTTATGGTGTATGGTTTCTGAGTGCAAAATAAGGTCCAAAAGCGCTTTTTGGCAAAGTTAGGATTAAATGCTTTTGCCTTCTACGTTATGACTTTTGCTTTTCATGTAAACTACGACATTGTCAAACGTCCTATACACCTTGTTAATAAAGCCATTCAAAATGAGTAGTATATATAGTTTAATTATACGGTTTATGCTATTACGTGAATTCTTTAAATAAAATTTTACTACCTCCATCCCGCTATATTTGTCCACTTTTGACTTTTGGAACTGTTCATCTGAGCACTTTGATTCATCAAATTCTCTCAATGTGTAAGCCTAAATATAGTTATGTGTGATCTTGTTTGATTTGTCTTAACATATAGATTATTAATATATAATTTTTATAATTTTTTAATATAGAAATTACAAGATAAAATGGATTAAAGAAGTGCATTGGATGATGTGCAAAAATGAAAGTAGACAAATACTCTGGGACGGAGGGAGTATCTATTTGTAAAAAAGAACATGTCTGCTTAATGCACTTATTTTATGGACTTTTAAAATAACTCGAAATAAAAAAATCTATGCAATGTTTTTATATTAAAATAATGATAAATAATTTACAAAAAAACATTATCATCTATAAAAATCAATGAATATGTACTGATTATAATAAAAAATAGAAAGTGTCAAAGAGTATATAAACAATGGCATTGAAAACTAGATAGAGAAAAGAAAGCATATAAATTTAAATATTATTATTAACTAAAAAAAATACTCACTTTGTCCCAAAAAAAGGTTCTACCTTTGACATGACACAGATTTTAAGAAAAGTGAACTTAAGTACCATAAATTTCTTTCTAAAAGTGAAAATAAGTACTTTTTTTGACAAACACAAAAGAAAATGTGAAATTTTTTTATTGAACGGAGGGAAAATATTGATTTAGCATAAAATATTTTTATTTTAATTATAGCTGACCGAGTCGTTGACCCGAGTTAACTGATTCGACTGATAATCCTTTGACCCCCTTGTTTGTCTGGTCAACACTGAGTCAGATTTTTAAAACATTGGTCAAAAGTGATCAACGTCAACGGCAATAGTTCTTCAAAGACCTTAAGAGATCGAGCAACGAAAGTAGATGACAGTATGGCATAGGCAATGTGTATTGTGGTGGTTGCACATGGCAAAAGCCCATGTTGATCCAGAATGATTATTGGTGGTAGCCCAAAACTTTAGCGTTGCTTGAAAAAGTAATAGAAAGTAGGAAAAATTACCCAAAATAATCCCAACTTTACCCGGTCTTTCAAAAATAATCCCACCTTTCACTGTGATGCATAATAATCCCAACTTTACTGAAATTTGCCAGTTTTGGGTCACCGTTAAGTTTCTAACGGAGGGTTAACGGAAATGCCCGTTTTAGGCAACAAAATGAAAGTTGGGATTATTTTTGATGAATTTTCATTTTTTTATTTTTTTTTTAAATTTTTCATTTAAATTTTTTAAATTACTTTCTACCTCCATCATCATTTTTTTTTCCTTTTTTAAAGATTAGTCTTAGTTTAAAAAATAAAAATAATAGATATAAAAAATGACAAATTGAGAAATGTAACTAAAATGATACAAAAATAATAAAATAAATAAGGTAATCAATGGAAACTAACTTGAAATTGGTAAAAGTAAAATAAAAATATACGGGTGGGTTTTAATATTTTACACATTATACAAAGTATTAACATATCACTTCATATTTTTTTGAAAAAATTATTTACAATAATACCAACTTTACCGGACGGCTTGTTCTTTTAAAAAAAGTAGTACATTAAGACTTTGTATATTGTGTAAAATGTTAAAACCCACCACTCCGTATATATTTATTTTATTTCTTACCAGTTTCTGTTTAATTTCTATTGATTACATTATTTATTTGATTAATTTTGTATGGTTTTAGTTATTTTTCTCATTTTCATTATTTTTTATATCTATTTTTTTCTAAGGTAAGAATAATCTTTAAAAAAGAAAAAGAAATGGAGGTTGAAAGTAATTCAAAAAATTTAAATAAAAATTTCAAAAAAAATTAACAAACAAAAATTCATCAAAAATAATCTCAACTTTCATTTTGTTGCCTAAAACGGGCATTTCCGTTAACCCTCCGTTAGAAACTTAATGGCGACCCAAAATTGGCAAATTTCAATAAAATTGGGATTATTATGCATCACAGTGAAAGGTTGGATTATTTTTTAAAGACCGGGTAAAGTTGGGATTATTTTGGGTAATTTTTCCTAGAAAGTATTCAAAAGGGATGACACGAAGAATGTATAACCCTTTCGTCCCAAAGTATTTATCTATTTTGGTTTTGTAGTTAACTTTGATGACATATTAAATACAGTTTTAAATAAACAATAGTTATACAAATTTGATATATTAATACTACTTCTTTCGTCTTAAAATAATCTTTCATGTTCAATTTACGAGGTTTGAATTGAAAAATAAATATTTTATATTTGAAAATTCTGTCAAAAGATCTACAAAACAAGAGTTGACATAACTATATTATTTTATCATATAAGAAATATAAAAATAGACAAAGAATGTAATTAAAGTTTGACTATGTGAATAGTGACTGGGAAGACAATTTTAGGACGGAGGGAGTATATCTTAAAGTAAATTCAATTATATTAAATTTTCATTACAATTAATTATTACTCTGTATTTTTTACAATATATAATTAAAGTTAATACAAAAGTGAGGACAAATAATTTGAGACATAGGAGTATTATATTTGTAGATCAAATTACCAAAAGTGAAAAATTTACTGGATTAAAGTCGTAGGGCAACATAAAAAAGGAGTTAATAGCATGGGTGCCCCTGTGATTTACAAAAAAGGCGTAAAAACTCCTTCAATTTTCAAAAGTTATTTGTAAAGTCCTTGTGGTTTCTAAATAGAGCACACATGCCCCCTTACCTATTTTTAAAGCAGAAATGACATGTATGCCCTTTGTTTTCCCCGCTCTTGAATTTTTTCAATTTCAATTTCCTTTATTATACAAATATATAAAATAAAATATATGCTTCCCATCTCAAATTAGAAATTTTCATAATTTACTTTTAAAAACAAAAGATATTTTTGGAGAATGTTACAAAAGAAAATGAAAAATAAAATATTATGTACAAAGTAAAAATAACATGAATGGATGATAAATTGATTTGAAGCGTATTTTACATTTCAAACTCATCTCTAATTTCTGAAAGATGATTTATTTTGAAGGATATATTTTACATTTCAAACTCATTTGAAGGATATATTTCCTCTTATCATGTTTGAACTTTTAATTTTTCTCTTTTTTCGTAAAGAATGCACATTTTATCGTGAAAAAGCTCATTTTAACTTTTGGATGTACAACACTTCAGGTAAGTCCGAATGCATATCTATTTATGTAACTAATATTGGCGACATTACCCGGTCCTGCTTGCCCGAGTGACCATTAGATCAATCGTCCAAACCGAAACAACAATAGAATTGGCGACGAATGAAATGTAATTTCTCAAAATGGAAAAGGTGCTTCCTAATGCGATATGCGTGTATGCTGTACAAAACCGCAGCCAGAGTCACCAGCATAAAGGATACCAATATCAACTCCCAGAAATCCTAGACAAAATGCACCAAAATACTATATATAAACAAGGTGATTTTAGAGTATGTTAAAAGAGTTAAATGCTGACAAATTGTATCTTGTGTTTCATTCAGTCTTTATGGTTAAACAAAGATAGATATTTTAAAGCGTTTTCTATAAAAAAAAAAAATAAGAGAGGGAAGATGGGTTGCCTGAGGATCTGATACAACGATGCCTGCTAAATAAGTCATCAAATCAAATAGAGATTGCAGTGAGTTCTGAACCCCTCCAACCACACAACGATCACTTTCTGCACCATCATCCTTTCACAAGCATACAGAGACAGTGTGTATGTGAAATCTTGGTGTACAAATGGGGTATCTCATCCTCACATGAGATAAAAAAATGCTTGTGGTAAACAGTTTTGTACCCCAGTTTGCACATCACTCAGTATCTACCATACATCTCTCATGTGGTGGAAAAAAAAGGTTACACCAAGGAGTGAACCCCAAAGTGTACACCAAAGGTATGCACTAACATTTTGATGGTTCACACTACCAATATATGCTAGTGCGATGAAAAATTGTGTAATAACATTTTGTGTGTGTGAACCATTACACTAGCATCACACTGGCACAAAATGAAGGTGTGTGATGTACAATTTGGGGTACAATTTTTGGTGTATAAGTAGTTTAGTTCATAAAAATTAGAAAATAAATACAACCATGCTAGGAGTACACCACGGATTATACCCCAAATGTACACCAAAGATATGCACAAGCATTTTGCTAAACTGACTTAAAATGGTAGTGCAACCAAAAAACTTTGCACTAATATTTTATGCTTGTGTAAATCATTACACTAACATTACACTAACATAAAATTTAGGTGCATACCTGTGGTGTACAACTTGGGGTATATTTTTTGGGGTACAAGTAGCTTAATTCAAATAGATAAGAAATGTATGGTTGATGCCGGGGTGGTCTGCATACTGGGGTACAAAATGGTGTACCTCTAGCATTACTCTAATCATATATCATGTGTACCTGCATTTGCTGAATGACTGACAAATCGAACATCCATAATCCCAAGCGTGAGGCAGCCACTCCGGTCATAAGCATGTATGCTGATACCAGTTTCTTATTTACCCATATGGAAGCTAAACATACCAAGAGGCAGCTCCACTACACAATAAGGTAAAACCAATCCAGAATCAAGGTCGTCGTAATGATTTTGCCCGCCATTTTTTTTAGTTTTTATGAATTACGAGCCCTTTGGAAATAGAACTTACAAACTGGTAGATATTTGGACAGGGAGTACCTGAGACCATATTGACCATAGCCCCGTACGAACAGTTGAAATTTGAGACTGCAAAAAAGGGTACAAAAATGTAGCAGCTATCCCTATTGCTGCACTTATACCGCGTGCAATCCCAATAACATATGCAGGAATGCCTTCCCATTCAAGTCTAGCCGTCATTAAGGAACCAAAGCTGCCAGAAAAATAAAGCAAAAAAAAAAGTTGATTAACTAACCAAAGTATTCTTTGACTAAGGCCAATATACTACATATGTTGTTGAAACTTACCTGAGTACAGTGAAGTAGAGAAGTGCAAGAGCTAACCCTGGGAGAAGTACATCTTGCTGCAAGTAGACTTTCCAAGCATTGATATAAAGGATTCTTGAAACATGGTCCCTTATTTTTACCCACCTGCTGCTTTCAGATTCATTTTTTTCTACATTAAGCAAGCTCTCCTCTTCATGATTAACAGAAGGGTTAAGTTCGATATTGTTTGGTAAAGATCTTAAGACCCTTCTAAGGCTGCATTCTCTTAAAACTGGAATCCCATTGTAAACGGATGTTAGGAGGTAGTATTCTAGGCAAACCGATATTATGTTCCACAGTGCTAGAGTCATGGCTGAAGCTGTCAGGGAGATAAAACTTATAATAGATCCTGAAATGACAGGAGCAAATAACTTGGAGACTAAATCTATACGCCGTATTGTTGAATTCATGCGCGACAGCATCTCGGGAGTATGGCCTTCTGATATCACCACCACCCTGCAAAATGAGTGCATCTCTAAAAAAAATTCATATTGCGTATTTTGGATTCTGAAATTGCACACTGATTTAGGCTATTAGCTTGGATCACCATTCTCTTTCAATCAATATTGTTCCTGCCATAGTGGAAAGCGCAGCAACAGCTCCGGAGATATTGACCAATATTATGAGCAACATAAATGCCCTAAAGTTGATTGAGTGAACCAAAAGGGCAATCATTGCACCACCAGCAACCGTAAATGAAAGATTTTTGCATAATAGCCATAACTTGAGAGCCTGAAGATATAAATATAAAATACTACGTAACACATACACACATAGGTTAGTTTTTCTATAAATACATACATGTGTATGTATGTATGTGTGTATATATATATATATGTATATATATATATATATATATATATATATATTTCATAAAAGAAATGAGAATGCATATGATCCATTGGATTTGGATCTAAGGATTGTGAATAAGTGAAAAATAAAAAAATGTGGTTGCATATTAGTAAATAAGGGATCTTCTTTGCCATCACAAAAATAAACTAGTGTATTCATAATTTGCACGATGAGGAAGCAAAAATGAACCATTCTCATTTCTCATGTGTGTGTGTGTGTGTATGTGTGTGTGTGTGTGTGTGTGTGAGTGTATATAAATTAGGCAATGAATTAGAGTAGGGTATGGAGCAAACACCTTAGGATATGCCAACTTATCTACCAAATCTCCAACCACTGGTCCAAGCAATGCGGTGGAAGCTGTCTCGACAGCACCATAAACAGCAGCAAGGACTAAAGAATTGGGAAAAAGATGAATCATATACAAACCCACAGAAAACTCCCACATTCTGCAATCAGGAAAATTTTGCTTAATCAAATCTAACAGAAATTCAAGCATTTGTTCCTCAACTATGACGCAAGGGCGATTTGGTTTTATTACCAATTAAATCTAGCACCATTAATTACACAAACCTTTTAGTTTGATTTAGAATCCCCTACAGTTCTCAACTTCTAATACCATCATTATCTCACCTTAATCCCAACTATGTGGAGGTCGGTACCATAAAATTTAGTGTCAATCAATAATTGTCTATAATGTTAGATATTATGTGCTAGAGACCATTTTTATTACAACTTTTTTAGGAAAGATTAATGAAATTCCACAACCATAATCATCATGTGTTTCTTTTCCAGTTGCAGGAAAAATATCATATGACACACACGACTTGATAGTTTCTATAGCCATGCACTATTATGGAATGGATACTATTAAATCAACATGAGCATTGAAACTTTAATAAAATCCTGTGGATTTCTGTCCTACACAATTTTTATGTTGTGATGAAAACGTAAGTCTTGCCTTCACGATAGCATTGTATGCATTTGGTTTGAATTAATGGAGTGGTTTTGCTAATCACAATCACTTTATCACTCTTTCAGCCTATTTGGTTTTTTAGCTAAAATGAGATGCTCCCTCTGTTCCAAAATGGATTGCACACTGCATTATTCTAAAATCACAGTAACTTTTATTTAATTGCGTATTTTTTTCGATTATTTGATAAAAATAAAATATTCTTGTCACTTTTGTTTTGTAGAAATTTTGACGTAGTTTTTAAATATTCAAGTTTCATTTTTTATTTACATACCAAATTTAAAATAAAATGAATTGACAAACCTTGGGATTTTGCCTCAGTTTGGCTTTCATGCAATCCATTTAGGCACAGAGGGAGTATATCATCTTGAATTAGAAATCCAATCTCCAATTAAAATTACAGCAAAAAGAGCAAACCCTCATCCTCGTGGCTTTCATAATCACCTGGTTCTAAAAACAGAATCACCTTTTTTAAAAGGAAAACCAAAACCACACATTTTGTTGGGTTTCAAGATTCTTGCTAATTCACAGTTCTTAAAAAACCATTAAAATTATTTTAAATGTCATTTCACATCTAATTCTGTTTGTCTTTTTCATTCCAGAAGGGATAGATGACTGCGTGAAATCGAAGAAGAAAAGTACGCTGAAACTGAAGAACATGAATCAATTACCGCAAGCATACGGAAATAGATGATGCATAAACGAACAGGAAGAAATAACCTGGCAGTCCATCTTGAGAGAAAGTGTCCAAGGTAAAGATGCGAAAGTAGAGATGGCGGAATTGAGGGCTGTTGATTTTCTAGACGAAGCACTCCACTATTCATCATAGTGCTTCTTTGCTTCTTGATTCCTCCCAAAAAAAAAAAATTGATTTTTTAGCTCATCACTAATCACAATCCATCTTTTGGGTTATTTTTGTAAATTTCACGGTATACCAAATTTATGCACCATTAATTTTCACTCTACATTCTTTATTCACTAATAAATTTTTATCAATACTTAAATTGTTTGGTGAAGAGTCTTTGGAGTAACTTAAAAAAGTATTTTTTTGTATACCTCCAACATTTTTATAACTATAATAATACCATTAAAGTAGTTTAGTGATTTAAAAAAATTAATCTCAACAATGACTCCAATCTCTATACAGACTACACAAATAGTATATTCTATGTATAGTTTGTGTGGTCTCTCGGTAGACATGTTTGGAAAAGCATAGAGGTTGAATGGTCATATCATACTATGACCAATAAAGATGGAGAACTAATTCAGAAATTTTATAAAGTACTATGTAAATAAAGTAATTTTAAAAAAGATAGAATTTTACACGTTATTCAAAATGGAAAATTTATTGTTGGACAAAGGGATTAAATTTTAATATCCCCTCCATCTCAAAACAAATCTCCCAATTTGATTTTACACAAAATTTAATTAAAATAAGAATGTACGATTGAAAATTATACAGAAAATACTAGAAAAATTGTGACCGACCCACAATTTTCTATTAAAGTAAAGAAGATGTTTTTTAAGATGTTCCCAAAAGGAAATTAAAAAAATTCCTTTTTTTAGAATTACTCCGTATCTATGAGTAAGTGAAGGGCAACTCTGGGCCTGTGCAGGTGTTTAACCGCACAAGGCCTATAAAGTATAAACAGGGGCCCAACAGTTTTTTTTTAAAACTAGTAGATACACGGAAGCATTTAGAAGCCCAAACAAAAAACACTGGTAACTCGTATTGCAGAAGGACAAAGAGGCGGAACCCAATTGAGCAAACGGGAACTGGAAGGCGCACGCCAAGACCGATCGAAGGTCGAAGACGAGTCGCCTCATCTTCGCTGCCGCCGTCAACCCGCATCACCGCGACGCCGTCCAGGTCACTCCAGAATTATTCACTCTTCACTTCTTCAGGTATGAATGTATGATTTATAATTATTTACTGATTAAATCCCTAATTTTATTTGTCTTTTAAATTTTAATTGTCCGGTTTGTGTTTTATTCTTCGATAGTTCTATAAAATTTAATTTTTATTTTTTTACTTAGAATGATTAATGAATTGTAATTTGATGACAAAAATCAGCCTTTTTTTTATTTTTTCCTCTTAAAAATAAAACTAGCATTTCACCCGTGCGATGCACGGGAATGTATATTCTATCAAAATATAAATTATTAATATTAGAAAAAATAAGTACATCATTTTTTGCAATTATATTAAATATGTAATTTTTATTTTAGTTATACACAACATGTATATTTGCTGAGTATATGAAAGGAGAGTAAGATAATAAATTAGAGTGATGGGTAGGTATATGCAAAAAGGATAGGTGAGCATATAAGCATCATCCAATCAAGGATTGATCTACATTATTGATATGAAAAAATGAGAGGATATAAACATGTAAGCTAAGTATGTAGAATAACATATATGATGAATAACATGCAAGGTGAGTATAAATACTACATATTGATCTGTTAAAAAAGATTTTTTCTTTTATATGAAAAGTCTATGTATTTAGTTCAATCAAAATCTGTAGAAAAACAAAGTAGGTAAAAGGTAATTATTGTTACTTCATAATAAGCTTTCCATGAGTGGTATAATACTCTCTGCAACATAACACATATATTTGCATAAGATAAGCAATGGTTTTCCCCTTTATTTTCTATAACAATAATTTAAAAAGAAGAATAAGAAATGAAGAAGTAATGGTTTGGCTAGTGGGAATGTAATCTTGAACGAAATTATGCTTATTTTATAACTGGAAAGTGCATAAGCAATTTCATATCACCTTTGAGACATGGAGAGGATGAAACTTTTTTTTTTTCAAGTTGAAATTCTAAGATGTGACCAAAGGCCATAACCAAGAAGAGCCCCTAATCTCCATGAAAATAGCATTCCCAATTCTATAGCCTTGGCCAAGATCAAAGAACAAATACCTAAAACCAGTAACCAGCAACCAGGTAGTAAGCCAAACACAAAGTGTAGAATGCACCTGGAACTCCAACTCGACCTTATGACCCAAAAATGTATTAGCCCATGCAAACCATACTCTATGAAAAGAAATATGAATGACGATTTTCCAAAACCATGCTTTGACTTGACCAAACATCAATAGCCAAAAAGACCGTGTGAACTAAGTCTTGATGGGTCAGCAAGCAAAGCATCACCTGCCTAGACACAAATGGTCAAAGAAACCATGTCAACCAAGTGAAGATGGGAATTTTTGCAACAAAATAAAACATCTTTCCAAGTCAACCAAGTACAGATGAGACCAACAACCCCATTGTTTGCTGGGTGCAAGATATTGAGTCAACTATGGGAAAACTTCTTCATTTCTAACTCATGAAAGATATAGAATCTTAATACACAAAAAGGCAACAACCTCATAATGGTCTTAAATTTTTAGTTGCCCCTAATCTGAATTTTATAATTGTAAATTTGATAAAAGAGTTTTAGTTACTACAGAAGTTTTGAATAAATCCACAAAACCCAATGCTTTCCAACAACAACAAAACATGCAAATTTCTTCAAAAGAGAGAAGAAAAAAGATGAAAATTAATCACCAGTATTATGGGGCTCTCACGTTTGATACAAGAATTCAAGCAGATCCCCATTAGAGAACCCAATTCTCGATCTCCTATTTCTCCTCTCCAAACATAGCATCTCTCTGTAAATAATCAATAGAACCATGAAATTGTAGCTATTTCTATATATGCAGTAATTCAGATAGAATATAAATGAAAGAAAAATTTGACCAAAAACATCAACGAAAAAGTATTTGATCACACAAGCACAAAGAAGGGAAATAACTTGAAGGTGTTATGGTAGAGTAATTATATAACTTAATTAATTAGATTCGATTATATAGTTAATCAGACAGGTTAATAGTTCAATTAGATAATTTAATTTAAAACGTATTTATATTTTCCTTTTGTGGCTCTACTTTTTGCGTATCAAAGTCAGGCTCACTCTTGGCTAGATATTTTAGCCACTCCATGTAATCAAACTTGTTTTGCATAATAGATAGATTTTAGATCCTCAAAGCTCCAAAAAAAGATTGTTAGCCTTGACAGGCTTGAAGAGTTCAACATCTATAACTGGTGGCAGACCCTTAACTCCAGCTTTAAGATGGTTTTTTTCGTTTTTCTGTTATTTGTAGCACTTTGCTCTACTTGGAAGTATGAAGGCTGAAGTTCTTTAATTGGATTTTGAATTAAATTTGATCTCAGTCTCTGGATCTCCATGTGATTGCGTTTCTGCGTCCTCTCTTTTCCATCCATCCTATTCGAGAAGGGAACATCCTATCTCTGGTGTCAGAATAAAAAAAGAACACATTTTTTAAAAATTATTTTTTGTTTAAGCTTAATTTATATTAAAATCTTAAATCGAAATATACGCCCAACCTAATATAGTTCCAATTGATACATGAAGTGTAAACATACGATCTTTCAATAAAAGAACTAAAATTAAAGTTTTCATTTCTTACCTATAAAGACGTTCCAGATCCAGCTCGGATCTTAACATTTTTCTGCGATTTACCACTGCATGCGTTAAACTGTATTTAATGCATCGATTTCTGGCCTGCGTGTTAACAAACCCGCTGGTGAACACCGGCGGAGAAGAACACCGATGGCAAATCACTCTCTGAAACATTCCCAACATCCCCAAAATGCTTTTAGACTAAAGAGATCGGGGCTTAACAACCTGAAAAAGAAAAATAAATAACCTTTATGGCATGTTTGGGAACATGGATTTGGATTTCAAATCCGGATTTGGCTCAAATTCCATGTTTGGGAAACCTAAAAATTTTAAATTTGGATTTGAGTCAAATTCTCCTCATTCATAACAAAGCTTAATTTGAAATTCATGCACCACCCCTTGTCATTTGAAATTCAAGATTTCAAATTTTGGAATTCAAATGCATGAATTGAAATGAAATGCTAGTTGCCAAACACTACTTTAAACAAATGATCAAACAAAAATGAATAACCTTTAAACAAATGATCAACTTGATCAAATGAATAACCTTTAAACAAATGATCAACTTGATCAAAGAAAATGCAAAAAACAGATGAAAATTAGTCTTAGTGCATACATAAAAGGAAACTTTGAAACCTTATTGATCATGAGCTCCAGTGTAAATTTTCAATTTCTAGTGCATACATAAATTTGTTAGAGACAATTAGTCAAACACTTAACATGCATATTTTGTCAAGAAAAGGGTCTTCACACATAGATAAAAGCCACAAATTCATGTGTTTCCTTAGTTTTCTTACACTGAAAGGTCAGGGCAGAGCATTCAAGTATATCCTTCAACAATCTCTTTGTTTTCTTCCCATCAGGCGTGGAGTTCATACCTAGGATCGGGTCTCTAGAATGTATGGTAAAATCCAACGAAGAAAACATTTTGAAGAGAACTCCTCCATCTGTGCAATCGTATCCCAATTTAGGCATAGCATTTGTCAAAATATATTTATGTTGTTTTGGTAACATAATTTCATTGCAAAAGCAAACATACTCTCAAATCCCACATATCTATGTAAATGCTAAACCAAAATTAAATTGAAATGTGGAGAAGGAGATGAATTTGACCTACCATATATGGACGATGGATTGCGCAGCGCTGGATCGAGGCATGAGGAGGGAAAGAGAGTTGGAGATCGGATGGTGGGATTGGCGCATATCTGAGTGGATTTTGATTGAAGAGATGATGAGTGACGCAGAGAAGAAACCGCAAATGTCCTTTCTAGAAAAGTCGCCATGAAATCCAGATAGCATTTGGCGTAGGTTATCGACGGTCAGATTTGCCAATTGCAAATGAAATTGGACCGTTAGATTGGAGCAAAAATTGGATAGAAATTTACTCAATTTTGATTCTACTTTTATATATATAATAGATTATTGCTATTATTTTTTATCAAAAATATAAAAAAATAGAAAAGTTACTCCTTGGTTCTCATAATGATACAATGCTTGTCGAATGGTTCCCAAACGCAAAAAGTAAAAAAGACTTAGAACTTACACAATCCCAGAAAGAGGAGGTCTCTTTTTATGTAAACTGATCTCCTTCATTGTAACAAATTCAATAATTATAATGTAACTTATTTAAATTTTACTTTTGTTAGATGCAATAGTCTATAGGGGCCATTTTTGTGTTTTCGCACAGGGCCGGTTTATGCTTTGGACCGGCACTTTTGGCTCAATTGAAAGAGAAAGAGCACGCACATATATCACCCGTCCATGCCTTTTGGTGTGGCTATTTTTCAAAAAAAAAAAAATTTATTCATTGCAACCACGAAATAAACATCATTATTGGAACACCAGGAAACTGGAAATTAAAGCAAATCATAAACATTTACACATGATTTAGCAATGGGTTCTTTACTGTTTCTTCAGTCAGGTTTGGCAGAACATTGGTCAAAGAAAACTGTATTAGTGTGTCATATATAAATAGAAATTTGAGCGGAATGGTTTGTGAATTATAAATCTGTTTTTTTGTTACCACGAATTGTTTAATTTTGAGGCCTTCTATAGTATGATCTTAGTTAGGAATGTTTGGAGGTCTATATATAAGGTTGACAAAACTAGGTATGCTTTGTTGTCTATTGCGCGGTCAAACCGGCTTGGGTCAGGTTTGAACTAGGTGGGCTCAGGGCTGAGTCAGTGAATCATTTCTTGTATGACCTCACCCCCTTGTCTTTTTTTCCCTTTCGGATGGAAGAACATTGCATTTCATATCTTGTACCAAAAACTAAAGTTGAAGTTATATGGACTAAATCTAAAACATGGAAGGGAAGAGTAGCTTAAGGCATTGTTTGGGAACAACATTTTTTATTAGCGTTAACATTTTGGATAAAATTTTAATGGTGTAAATTAATTCTGAAAATGCTAACGCTAAAGGTTACCGTCATATAACCTTTTCAAAACGCTAACGCTAATCTCTAACACTAATGACAAATGGGGCCTAAGATAGCTATAACCTTGTGATACGTGTCATGCCTAATTGTTGTGCTAGATCATAATTTCTCACCTCAAGTGCGGTGAAGCTGAAAATAGTGTCATTTTATCTTCTGTTTGTTTGTTTGTGTTGCTTTATGGTGAAATAGTTAATGCATTCTTATAGAGCTTTCACTTGGACTGCAACATGATTCTTTAGACATTTTCCACAAAGACGCAGAAATGGTGATTCCTCCTCCAATTAGACCGGAACGAGTTTCAAAGTTCCTGAAACCGTATGTACTGAGGATGCACTTCACCAACAAATACGTGAATGCGCAAGTGGTTCACACCCCCACCGCAACAGTTGCAGCATCTGCAAGCACACAGGAGAAGAGTCTGAGGCTGGCAATGACAGCGGCAAAAGAGAACACCAGAGACGTTTCTGCTGCTTCAAAAATAGGGAAGCTGCTCGGCGAGCGTTTGCGCATCAAAGGCATTCCTGCAGTTTCTGTTTTCTACAAGAGGGACCAGAGGTATCATGGAAAAGTCAAAGCTGTGATTGACTCCATCAAGGATGAAGGAATCAAATTGCTTTGAGTAAGTCATCCCTAGTTTAGCCTCATGTTGTGTGTCCTTTGAAGACTCTCTTAAAATAAGACAAAGGGTTATTTAAGTCAAAAAGCACATTGTAGAAATGTAATTTTTGTTCAGTGTGTTCCGCGGCTTTCAAAATGTATTTTTCCCTTTTACTTGACAGGAAGCGTTTGGACCTCGGAAATTGGTAGGGAAACAAAACAGAGGAAAATATATGGGAAATTTGGAAGGAAAACTATTTTTGATATATGCTCAAGCACGTTTCATTATCTATTCGTATCATACAAAAACTGAGAAAGATGAACATTTTTTAAGTACTCAAAACATTAAATCATACTCTGTACTTTGTATTTCTTTTCTTTTACAATCCCCCTGGCAAAACCAAATAATGTCTTTTTTGTATCATTTTTTTCCTTTACCCTCCATTTTCCAGGTTCCAAACGCCACTCTAATCCTCTCTGTTAGCGATTGTGTTCATATTGGTATTCCTGCCATTGCATACTGTCCCAAGAATATTGTAAAAACATCACATTAACAAGAAAGCTAAGGGTATTCCTTGTGGAATTGCAAATTATCTCGATAATGAATGAAGAAACCACATGACATTCTTTTTTGAATAAACAGCACATGGTATTCTCGAAAATGCATGATATATTAATGTCTCAAGAATGAATTTAAAACATCAAAACAAGCTAGAAAGAATAAGAGAGATTTGTTAGTGAGTGTAAAGAATCATGAGAAAGAACTCCATGTTCCCGTAGTTGACACCGTTTATGAATTTTGTCTTCATAGTGACATTGATGTGTGTATCCTCAGACAGTAATAATTCCACACACATTAGTCACCCACGATGTCAACCTCGTGGCCATAATTGTAGCATGATCCAAAAAATAATGTCAGAAATGGACTCTAGTACTATTAAGAGCCCAGTTCCAATGACAATGGAATCCAATATCATGCTATGACACCGATTGGATTGTTGATTGCAACAATAATGTTGTTGTCAATCAACAATCCAGGAGGGGCATGGGGACTTAGTGGGATTGAAACCATCAATTATATGAATCGAGCAGCGTATGTGTTCGAGGTCATAGCATGGCATTGGTTCCAATGTCATCCAAACCGTTCAGCTTTAGCAGTTTAGAAAAGTTATCTAGCAGTAATCTTTAATTTACCGTTTCTAGACGTTAGCATGCATCATTTAAAAAATATTCAAAAACTCAAAAAACCCTAACTCTAAATGATGTTCTAAACGGACCCCAAGTGAACTCAAGCAAAATGCAGTCCTTTGTGCAACAATAATCTTTGGAAACTATTTGAAGAATTAGGCAAGTTGTTTTGACACTTTCTTGAAATGATAGGTGGCATTGTTTTACTTGGATTTTTACCACTTGGGAAGCAACATTTACACAAAAACTAACCATAGAGGTTATGATTTTGACACTCAAGTACAAGCTCAAGGCCTGGCTTCCAATTTACTTCATTCATTTATTGGTTATGGCCTTCTTTAATTAGCTCTTGTGCTTTTACCTAACTTTGTCATCTAGGATGAGTACTCAATAAATGTAAAGCTTAGAATTGTATGTATCTGCTTTTATGATTGGTTCTTCCTCTTTGTCAAATATATATACTTTGTTGGGCGGTGCTCCTTGGACCACACGGCAAGAAGGAGAGCAAATCCCATTCTAAGTGGGATTGCTCTTGATTTGTTTCCTTGTTCATATTTAGTGATTTGTTTCCTTGTAGGAATAGAATTCCTTTTGTGTTTTGGTCTTTATCCTCTCCTATAAATAAAGGAGAAACTCCTTGTACTTAGCAGAACAATTCAATATACAGAATATTTTCCCTCTTATTATTTTCTTCATGGTATCAGAGCAAGATTCCTAGGGAAAAACCCTA